AGGGCAGGTCCGGGAAAAGGAGGACCTGAGGTCACTGTGTACCTGGGCATCTAGGGGAGGAGAGGGGGGTCCGAAGTCTCTCACCTGAGGACCACCTGTAAGAACCTGGCGTCTATAGGACCTGACCCATGACAGTGAGGGGGGGGGACCCTCTTAGAAATATTGATGGAGGACATGACCAAAAACAAGTGAAAAACCTTCCTTCTTTAGAGGTTTCTTTAAACCGAGGCTGGATGGGCATTTGCTGGGGGTGCTTTGATTGTGTGTTCCTGCATGGCAGGGGGTTGGACTGGATGGCCCTTTGGGGGTTCCCTTTCAACTCTAGGGTTATATGAAATATCAATCCCTGTTTGTCAGTCCTGCTCAAAATGGAGGGCGTTTGGGGATTCCTTCTGGGCAGAAGGTTGAAAAGGAGGGCAGGTCCGGGAAAAGGAGGACCTGAGGTCACTCTGTACCTGGGCATCTAGGGGAGGAGAGGGGGGTCCGAAGTCCCTCACCTGAGGACCACCTGTAAGAACCTGGCGTCTATGGGAGTGTCTGTTTGTTGCTGTTGTTGTTGTTGTTGTGTGCCTTCAAGTAATTTTCTGCTTATGGCGACCCTAAGGCGAATTTATCATGGGGTTTTCTTGGCATGTTTTATTCAGAGGAGGTTTGCCATGGTCATCCTCTGAGGCTGAGAGAGTGTGACTCGCCCAAGGTCATCCAGTGGGTTTTTATGTTGGAGCGGGGATTCGAACCCTGATCACGCAGTCCAACTCTGAAACCAGTACACCACACTCGTTCCTTTCCAGTAATCCTCTCTGGAATCGTTCTTCCACCTGCCCACCCCAGGCTCCAGGCCGCCTCTTTGAGGTGTGCAGAGAGGTATGTACTGGTTCTGGGAAATCATAACAATAATCATTATAATTATGATTATTATGTTTAAAATGTGCAGAGCGGACACCTTGTCATCTTTATCCAGTTTTGGCCTCGCCAGTTTGAAAGGGGAGGAAGAGGATCCGAAGTGGAAAGAGAGCTGCCCAAAGGCAAGGTAGGTGCAGAGTTTGGAAATTTGACTTTTTTGGAATAAAATCCCCAAGATCCTGCAGTGCGGAGAGTGCGAGTAACTGAGGCTGCGTCTGCACTGCCAAAATAATCCGGTTTGACACCACTTTAACTGCCATGGCTCCATGCCACAACAAATGACAGTTCCCAGGATTCCATAACATGGAGCCATGGCAGTTAAAGTGATGTGAAACTGGATTATTTTTTGGCAGTGTGGACGCAGCCTGAGAAACTTTTCCAACATCTGCCTAGGCATTTATTTATGCATCAGGGTACCATGCATTAAAATATACCTAATGAGCATCTGAATGACTGCTCTTCCACACTGCAGAAATGAAGCGGTTTGGCACCACTTTAACTCTCAGGGTTCCATCCTGAGATATCCTAGCTATTTGTAGTTTCGTGAGGTATCCAGCTTGGTCTGTCAGAGAGCTCTGGTGCATTACCAAACTGATTCCTTTTGGAAATAGGTGGGCTAGAAATAAATCATATTATTATTATTATTATTATTATTATTATTATTACAACTCCCAGGATTCTGGAGGATGGAGTTGTGACAGTTAAAGTGGTGTCAATCTGCTTTATTTCTGTAGTGTGAATAAACCCTTAGTTTCTGCCTAGAACACAAAAGAGTATTCCAACTTAAAGCCAATATCCTTGGTTTGGTTTTTAGGTCCAAAACACACTGCAGAAATTATCCAGTTTGAGACCACATTAACTGCCCTGGCTCAATGCTAGGGAATTCTGGGAATGGTAGTTTCCTGAGACATGTAGCCTTCCCTCTGGTGCCACAATAAACTACAATTCCCAGGATTCGCTAGCACTGAGCCAGGGGAATTAAAGCAGTCCCAGCCTAGATTTTTGGACCTTAGATGTAGCCCCTGGGACTGTAATGAAGAAACTATAGCTTAGCCTTCCTCAACTTGGTCCCTGGCATATGGCTAGGATGATGGGCTTTGTAGTTCAACACATCTGTCACGTGCCACATTGGCAAAGGCTGACATAAAGTGAGTACAGATAGGCAGGTCCTCCTAAAGTGGATGACAGAGGAAGCCCCTGGAGTGGTAGAGGTGTGGAGCCACAGTGTAGTAGTAGTGAGATCTGGGGTTTTCAACCTTTGATTCTCCAGCTGTTTTGAACCTCAACTCCACCAATATGGTAGCAAAAAAAGAGATGATGAATCCTGGTCCTTAAAGGGATGACTACTGATGAGGCAGGAGGCTCAAAAGAATTCAGAATTCTTTTTCTCAATTTCTGGAAGTCTGAAAAACACTCATCTATGGGGATCCTATTCTACATAACAGCTGTGTATAGACCTCAGAAAGAGCCAGCGTGGTGTCATGGTTTGAGTGTTGGACTGTGATTCTGGTGATCTGGGTTTGATTCCCAGCTTGGCCATGGAAACCCACTGGGTGACCTTGGGCAAGTGACATTCTCTCAGCCCCAGGGGAAGGCAATGGCAAACTCCCTGTGAACAAATCTTGTCAAGAAAACCCCATTATAGGTTTGCCTTAGGGTTGCCATAAGTTGGAAATGACTTGAAGGCACACAACAAACAAAAAAATAGGTCTCAGAGCTTCACCTACAAACAACGGACCTACCATCAGTCTGTTACCAAGTGGCATCTTTGAGCAGCTGCCAAGATATCCTCTTGGTGAGGCTTGGCTCTTTTCTTTTTCTGACCTGGGCCACTAGAAAAGATCCTTGAACAAAACGCTTGGTAAGGTACAAGGCAGCAAGAAAAGAGGAAAACCTGTGTTACAGATGGCTAGATTCAGTCAAGGAAGGGGGTTGCAGACTGCCAGAAATAGTGCAAATTGAGTCCACTTTTAGGGTTAGGGTTAGTGCTAGGGAATCATGGGAATTTTTTTTTTCTGAGACATTGAGCCTTCTCTGTCAGAGAGCTCTGGTGCCACAATAAAATACAGTTCCCATGATTCCCTAACCTTAACCCTAACTCTAAAAGTGGACTCAATTTGCACTATTTCTGGCAGTCTGCAACCCCCCCCCCCGAAGTTTGCAAGACCTGAGCAGGACTGTTGATAATAAGTTGATGATGATAGGATTGATGTTGATGATAGGGTGACTTGGAGGTCTCTCAGTTGTAGGGTCATCATAAGTGGAAGTTGGCTTGAGGATGATAGGGTTGATATTTATGATAGAGTGACTTGGAGGTCTCTTATTTGTAGGGTCACTATAAGGGGAAGTTAGCTTGATGTCAGTTAACAAAAACAACTATGAACTGGCCTTAGGCTCCATGCAGGACTAGGTAACTTAGCATGGCTCTGGGGTCTTGCGGAGGAATTCAAAGTGTAGGAAGACTGTCTACCGAATGTTCCTTTGACTCTTCCACCACGGTCAAGTAAGCCTAGAGTTTAGTTGTAGGGAATGATACTCCCAGAATCCCCCCAGTTAGCATGGCCAATGTAACCTTTCTGGATAAACCAGTTAAGGTTCACTGAGAGAGGAAGGGATTCCTCTCCAGACTATACTTTTCATCCATAGTTTCCACAATCCTGGAGTTAGACTTGGCAGGAATCTTAGCTGTACCCCTGTTTGGTACTTTGGCATACGTTGATTCCAAGGGCATTAACTGTTTCCATCCTCTGTGCAGGCGTCATCCATCAGAGATTAATATCTTTAAACACACCAAAGCTCAAACTTTCCTGGGAGTTAAATGCTTTGCTTTGATAGTTTTTTTTTTAATATAGATACTTTCATGCTTTCAGTGCTGATGTGAGATACAGGTGTTTGTTATTGTGTTGTTGTAAGTTGTTTCTGACTTATGGTGACCCTAAGGTGAACTCATTATGGGATTTTCTTGGCATGTTTCTTCAGAGGGGGTTTGCTATTGCCTTCCTCTGAGGCTGAGAGTGTGTGACTTGCCTAAGGTCACCAATGGGTTTCCCTGACCAAGCTGGGATTTGAACCCTGGTCTCCCAGTGTCCTAGTCCAACAGCCAAACCACTACATCAGGGGTCGGCAACCTACGGCCCATGGGCCGGGTGTGGCCTGCGGAGGCCTTGGAACCAGCCTGCTGCCGTTGCCACCACCACCGCCGCTGCCCCCCGTGCACGCGCAAGTGTGGCCGCCATTTTGGCATCCAAAATGGTGCCTGCGCTTGCACATGCATGTGTGCGAGCGTGGGCACCATTTTGGAAGGCCCCAGCGTGTGTGCATCTGGCAAATGCACCTGGCGCAGGCGCTCTGGGGCCTTTCCTGGGCCCTGGCAAGGCGTCAGCACGCTTGTGCCAGGCGAATTCACCTGGCGCAGGTGCTCTGGGGCCTTCCAAAATGGTGCTCCCCTCCTCACATGCGCACGCATGTGCACAATGGCGGGCGTCGTGCGCATGCGTGCCAGCCTGGCCCTTGCACCATTTTCGCCCCCTCCCGGCCCCCTGGCAACAAAGGTTGCCGACCCCTGCACTACACTATGCTGGCTCTTGATGTATTCACTAAGTGTGGAAGACACCAAGGGTACTGGATAGTGAGGTGTACTCACTATGGACTTTATCACACAGGGGAAATCCCATGCAGAAATGAGGTTTTAAATTGAACCCGCCCAAAAAAGTGGGTTGATTCTCACACTATGGGGTTGTTAAATTGTTGCTAATCCAAAAGGAAAATAGTCAAAAGCCACTCCTTTTTACTTTCCGAAAAACTCGAGCGGCTTTTGACTACTTTCCATTCAGGTTAACAACAGTTTAACAATGACATGTGTGAAAATCAACCCGGTTTTGCAGGTTTTCCCCAGCTTTTAAATTCCATTGATGCACAGGATTTCTCCCATGTGATAAAGTCCACATCATAGTAATGTATTGTTACAGGGGAGTTGAACTTCCCACTGCCAGATATTGTCAAAACTGCAGAGGAAATAGGGAACTCAGGGGTGGGGATGAGGATGGAAGATGATATCATTGACCCTGCCAATCAGATAGTCCTTGTGCTTTGATCCTTTAAGCCAGGGGTAGGCAACCTAAGGCCCAGGGGGCCGGATGCGGCCCCCCAAGGCCTTTGGACCGGCCCCAGGCCGGTCCTGCCACCACTGCCGCTTCCCACTGCCTCTGCCCACCATGATGATATTGATTATTGTTGTTATTACTTGTTCTTGGGGTTTTCTTGGCAAAATATCCACAGGGGGTTTGCCATGGCTTTTCTGGGGCTGAGAGAGTGTGCATGCATATATTTTTTAATTTTTTTAAAAAAAATATTTATTTATTTATTTATTTATTTATTTATGGTGCTTCGACCCCCCAGTTGTCTGAGGAACAGCAACTTGGCCCCCGGCTCAAAAAGGTTGCCTACCCCTGCTTTAAGCCCTGACTCCACTAACACTGACTGGGAATTCTAATAGTCTAATTTTGACAAAATAAGCTTTTTGTGGTTATTGTTAAACATTAAGGACTTATCCCAATCTACTGTAAATCATCCCACAGTTTGCAAGGAAATCTTGATTTATTTTTGTCCAGATCTGACATACAGTTTTTCTCGGCCAGGAACCTTTGCCTTCCAGAGATTCAGTTATCGCTGTGTTAGTCACATTCTGTTTTGTTATCTTTCTAGCACTACATAATGGTTATTTTTTTATTTGATTTGAAATACTATTTGAGGTTTTGGGTCATAGGCCAGTTACATTTTATTACATTTTGGTTTTGGTTTTTTTTAAAAAAAATCTCATTAAATAGCACTTTTGATAAGCCTGCTCTCTATCAAAATTTAATTGATCATAAGATAAGATGAGCATTATGTGAAGCAGAGATTCTGCAAGATCTCTGCAGGGAACCAGATTTCAGCTAATAATCTAGATAAATTTCTTAATACTAAGAATTGTTTGACAGTGGAATAGACTGCCTTGAGAAAGAGAGTAGGCTTTCTAATGCTACACTTGAGAAGTGTAATGCTCTCTTGAGAAAGAGAGTAGGCTTTCTAATGCTATTTAATGTATTTAAATAAAGGCTGGATGGCCATCTGTCATGGATACTCTCACTCCATCATTTTGCATGTAGAGAGAGCTTGTTGAACCTTTGAGACTAACTGAAATAAAGAAGTTGGCAGCATGAACTTTCATAGACTTCACTCTACTTCCTCAGATGTATTTAGTGGAGTGGAAACCAGGGACAGACATATATATGCCATTGGTATGTGATAATGTCAATTCAAATTCAAAATCCTTTGTGTATGGAAATGAAGTTGCAAGTCATTCTTGAACAAAGACATTGTGAACTGGCCAATGTGTATGGAAATGAAGAGGTAAGACCAGTTTGGCTTTAGAAACTAGCCTGTAGGTGAAGAGAATAGATGAGTGTAGGATGCTCCCTTAGTATGTTAGGGAACTATTAGGTAGTTCCCTATATTAGGGCTTAGAGTGTGGGCTAGAGAAATGACAAAGAGTCCAGACTCTTGGTTCCCAAAACAAGAACTCAGTTTTATTCGGCCGAAGGCGGACAGCATGCATTCAAGGTAAAACAGAACTGCCGCCCCCCCCTTGTTGTTCTCCAAAACCTTTATACAAGTGTTTAATCACATAGTAAACATGCGCAGATGCCTTCTTTCTGAGCCCCCCCTGCTCATGGAGAATAGAAACTTTACAAGAACAAAGACTTGCTCTGATTATGGAGAATTTTTAACTTTTTATGTTACAAAGACAGACACATATAGCTTTCCTCTTCTATATCTTTATCTAGTTTCTATGATTACATGCTGCACATTTTCAGAACTCTTCACTGAGCCCTTTGTTCTGTAACCTTGCTAATTAGCTAGTTTCAAAAAACAAGAACTAAATGCAAACTTTTAGAGACTTGTAAGCTAAGTGAATTTCTAATTTCTTAACATATGTTTAATGTATAATTTTCACCCAGTTCTATAACTTACATTCAAGTTACCTTGCCTCATCCACTGGTTCTCCTAGCTAGAAGCTTCCTGGTAACCCATCCTTTAGCATAGAAAAGGAGCCCCATGTGGTCATCCATCCGGGCCCCAAAGCTAACTATTTCCAAGGGAGTCTAATGCTACTTCCCTCTCAGGATGGGGTCAGATAGTGCTGAAATGTATTTAGTGATTATCCCTGTTCAGTTCATTGCTGAGGAACTTTAGTTTATGGATGAATTCCAATTCTGCTGTTTCTCTTTCCAATCTATCTTTGTAGTTCTTTTGTTCAAGGATCACTGTTCTGAGGTCTGAGATGGAATGCCCAGGGAGATTGAAATGTTCTGCCACAGGTTTTTGTGTATTCCCATTCCTAATGTCTGATTTATGGCCATTTATCCTCTGGTGCAGGGACTGACCTGTTTGCCTGATGTAGAGAGCTGATGGGCATTGATAACATAGTATGGCATAAATCACATTGGAGGATGAGCATGTGAAGGTCCCTCTAATATTGTGGGTGATGCCATTTGGT